AAAAATGCAAAAGAATTATGTTTGATCTTTACCTCACACCACATACAAAAATGAACTTAAAACAGATCAAAGAGCTAAATGTATAGAAGTCTTAGAAGAAAACTTAGGGGTTAATCTCTATAACCTTAGATTTGGTAATGTATTTTTAGATATGACACTGAAAGCCTGAGCAACGGGAGAGAAAGAATAGATAAATTGGACACTGGTAAAATTAAAACCTTTATGCTTCAAAGCACACTGTTAAGAGAGTGAAAAGACAACCTACAGAATGGGAGAAAATATTTGCAAATCATTCATCTGTCAAGAGTCTAATACCCATAGTATATAAAGAATTTTTATAACTCAACCATACAAACAACACAACTAAAAAATAGGCACAGGATCTGAACTGACTTTTCTCCAAAGACATACAAATAGCTCACAAGCACATGAAAACACATATAACATCATTAGTCATTATGGAAATGCAAATCAAAACCACAATGAGATTTTACCTCATACTTACTATGGTAGGTATAATTAAAAACTAAAATGGACAGTAAAAAGTGCTGGCAAGAATATGGAGAAACTGAAACTCTCATACACTGCTGGTGGGAACATAAAATGGTGCAAGTGGTGTGCAAAGCAGTTTGGTGATTTCACAGTAAGTTTAACACAGAATTATTATATGATCCAGCCATTCCACTCTTAGGTATATACCCAAAAGAATCGAAAACAAGTTTTCAAACAAAAACTTGTACATGATTGTTCATAGCAGCACTATTCACAATAGTGAAAAGATGGAAAGAAACCAAATATCCATCATGTGATGAATGGATAATAAAACATGGTATATGCATATTAACAGAATGTTATTCCACCATAAGAAAGAATAAAGTACTCCTACATGCTACAATATGGATGAACCTAGGAAACATTATGCTAAATGAAAGAAGCCAGACACAAAACATTACATATTGTATGATTCCATTTATATAAAATATCCAGAATAGGTAGATCCACTGAGACAGAAAGTAGAAAAGTAGTTGCCAGGGGCTCAGGGGAGGGAAGATTAGGAGTGATTGTTTCATGGCTACAGGGTTTCCTTTGGGGGTGATGAAATTATTTTGGAACTAGACAGAGGTGGAGGTTGCACAACACTGTGGATATACTAAATGCCACTGAACTGTATAGACACTTTAAAATAGGTAATTTAATGTGAATTTTACCTTAAAATGAATGAATGGAAGAAAGAAAAACCAGACTCTTTAAAAACCTTTCATTTACTACAGAAGAATAATTATTTATGCTTGTAAATACCTTCCAACTTGGATGCACAGTTCTTTGTCATTATGTCTATGTATAATCACATACCATTATTTCCCAAATACATGATCTTAAGTCTCACCCAATATTATATGTTTTACAACATATTACAACCCAGCTGAGACCTGTTAGATCAGCATCTACAAGAGAAATCCATCTCATGTAATTAATTTTTTAAAAGATTTTATTTATATATTAGAGAGAGAGAGAGAGAACAAGTTGGGGGAAGGGCAGAGGGAGAGGGAGAAGCCAACTCCTGGTTGAGCAGGGAGCCCAAGGTGGGGCTTGATCCCAGGACCCTGGGATCATGACCTGAGCTGAAGGCAGATGCCCAATGGACTGAGCCACCCAGGTGCTCCTATCCCATGTAATTCTTAGTATCAGACAAATTTAACTACTATTTAGCATAATTATTTTTTCTGATGAAAAATAAAATGATTTAGCTCTATTGTGGGTGACAGGTAAAAGACTTTAGTTAGAAGTGTTAATAATTTATTAAGCAGAAGCAACATTTACTTATTTTAATCAATAATACGAATTTCTGAATAATTCCTTTAGAATAAGGAGGAAAATCATCTGTGATTACTGTTAAGTGTTCCCACTCAGGATAAAGTTCAGATAAGTAGGCATTTTTTAAAAGACAGCATTGCCAAGTATTGGCAACAGAAATTATCTTGCATTGTTGGTAAAAGTGTAAATTGATACAGTCCTTCTGGAGAAAAGTTTGGCAACATGTATTAAAATTTAAAATGTACATAATCCTTGATCTATCCATCTCACCAACAGAAATTCAAACCAAGGAGATAATTAGATGAGGTGTTGGTTTGAGGATATTCATCATACTAATTAAAAAAATGAAAACTGGAAACAATCTAAATGTCTATTAACAGAGTCTTGGGTAAATAATTAACAGTGCACTAGGAAATACTGTGAAGACATTTAAAAAAGAAACCATCTACATTCATTCTTCATAGGAATTATAGAGTGCAAAGGGCTCCCATTATGGAGAACCTGTTTTTTTCTTGTGTCAAATCCCATTATTCCTCGGACTTTGAACATTGTTTTTTGGCATACAGACTCTTAGACTTAGCTTAGCACACCGTTGTTAATTCTTGCCTAATTACCAGTGTCTCCCACCATACTGTGAATTTCCTGAGAATAAGGACTGTATTATGTCCTTTTCCAGAGTCTAGAATAGTGCCTGGCACACAAGAAGTGCTCAATAAATATTTGTTAAATTAGGGGCGCCTGGGTGGCTCAGTTGGTTAAGCATCTGCCTTCGGCTCAGGTCCTGATCTCAGCGTCCCAGGATGGAGCCCCGCATCAGGCTCCCTGCTCAGTAGGGAGTCAGCTTCTCCTTCTCCCTCTGCTCCTTCCCCCTTCTTGTGTGCGCGCTCTCTCTCTGACAAAATCTTTAAAAAAATTTGTTAAATAAAATTAAGAAATACAAAAAAAAATGGTATATGTTTTTTTTTTTTTTTTTAAAGATTTTATTTATTTGAGACAGAGAGAATGAGAGAGAGAGAGCACATGAGAGGGGGGAGGGTCAGAGGGAGAAGCAGGCACCCTGCCGAGCAGGGAGCCCGATGCGGGACTCTATCCAGGGACTCCAGGATCATGACCTGAGCCGAAGGCAGTCGCTTAACCAACTGAGCCACCCAGGCGCCCTGGTATATGTTTTTAAATGCTTAAATGCACTTGTAATCAAAGAAATATAGATTTTAAAAACGAAAGAGAATTTTCTCCCAGTCAAATTTGTCAATCCCAAAAGACACCCACTTTGGTCAAGGATAGGAAGAAATGGAAAAAACTATTATGTTGTAAATAGTAATCATCACAATATAACTAAAGGGCAATTTGGCCACATGTGTGTAGCACACAGCACAGATTCTGAGGTCAGACAGAATGAAAATGAACTAGTTCAGACTTGGGAAGTTATGCAGCACCTCTAAACTTCAGTTTCCTCATTTGTAAAGGAAATCAGATTTACTAAGAAGTAAATCAACATGATACTTAGAGCTACAATATTGCAGCTTATTAAAATTAACAAAGAGCTATTTCAATCTATTTATTTTTTTAAGTTTATTTACTTAAGTAATCTCTATACCCAATTGGGGCTCAAACCCCTGACCCCAAGATCAAGAGTCATATGCTCTTCAGACTGAGCCAACCAGGCGCTCTACTTAAATCTACTTTAAAACTAAGCCATGTGTTTCATAAGAATCTTCCATATAAAATAACTAATTAAATTTTCTTAAAAAATGTGGATATAATTCATTAATTCATCCCACAACTATTTGTTGGGCACAGTATTCAGCAACTGGCTGTGTGTCAGGCACATGGGCTAGTCACAGGGGATATAACAGTGAAAGAACTAAGTCCCTATAATGGTAAGATAGAGAGCGAATCTGAAAATACATGGCAATGTGAACTACTGAAACACGTGGGGAGAGAAGAGGAGAAGGCTCTATGAAGCGACACTTGAGCAGAGACCTGACAAGTGATAAAGCAAGTTATGTAGATGTGTGGGAAAAGAGAGTTCCAGGAAAAGGGAGAGCGAAGGCTCAGTTGCAGGAGCATGTGACAGCAACAGACACCAGCATGGCTAAGGAGGGGAAATAACCAGGAAGGGTTGTAGGAGGTGAATTCTCAAAGGTAACCTGTATCAGACTCTGTGGGGCTTTGCAGGCCAAGGTAGGGATGTGGAATTTGTTCCAAGTGTGATGGAGAACAGTGGAAGATTCTGAGCAGGGCAATGACATCATCACATTTTTACCTTAAGAGATTTACTCTGGCTATTTTGGGGGAAAATTGACTAAAAGGGGCAAGAGTGAAAGCAGGAAGGTCACTTAGAGGCCACTGTAATAGTGTGAGCGAGAGATGGTGGCTTGGAATGCAGAGCATCTGAAGTGGTGGCGGTGAGAAGTAGTCACATTCAGGATGTATTTCAGACATAGTGCTGTTAGGATTCCACTTCTAAGAACCTAACTCAAAGATTTCACTGTTGATATTCAAGAAGATTTAAATGAAAGGATACACAAAATAGGCTGCTTACAACTTGATACAAGTTGATGGTTTAATAAACTCTGGTATAGCCACAAAGCGATAAAAGAGGTAGTCATTTAGAAATGATGATTTTGAACACATAATGACACGGAAAAATGTTCATATACTATGTTAAGTGAAAATAACTGGTTACAAAACAAAGTGTTCAATATTAATCCATTTTGTCCAAATAAAATGTATAGAAAAAAGATTGGGGGTGCCTCGGTAGCTCAGTTCGTTAAGCATCCAACTCTTGATTTTTGCTCAGATCACGATTATAGGGTCATGACACTGAGCCCGTGTCAGGCTCTGTGCTTAGCGGGGGGTCTGCTTGAGAGTCTCTCTCCCTCTGCCCCTCCCCCTGCCCGCCTGCTCTCTCTTTCCCTAAAATAAATAAATAAATCTTAAAAAAAGACTGAAAGTTATACACCAGCATGTTAACAAAATATCTCTCTGGGTTGTGAAATTACCCATTTGTCACTTTGCTTCTTTGAGCTTACTGTATTTTTCAAATTTTCTGTAATGACAGTGTATTACTTCTACAGGAAGAAATGATTTTGAAAATGTAATACTGAGAAGCACATTTTCAACAAATAAGATTACTGAAGAATAACCACTTCAATCTGTTTATAGTTTTCTTTGTTACTTACCATTACTTTTCGCAAAGTGTATCTTTTGGATCGAATATCATCCATTAGCATCTCATAAGGCGTGAGCTGATATTCAATGGGCAAAGGGTTGTACTGCCGCTCTTGGACCTTCTTAAGTTTTACTCCATTCCGCAAATCCCTCATCACCTGAACCCAGAATCGAGCCTAAAAGAACCAAGGGTGGAGAGATGTCCATGAATAAATTTACTAGTTTCCTCTAAATAGCTACAGTCACAGAGAAAAAATGAAGAGCTTGGTTTGCAAAACACTGAGTAAACCAAACAAAACCACTTTTTAAAATTAGGTTTAAGGATATTAAAATGTGGATAGAAAGCCAGTCAAGAATCATAAGCTCTAAGTGCTGAGTCACCTGAGCATAAACCTTAACTCACCCACTGTGGAAGGCTGCATTAATGGGCTCAGTCCTGTTACGTGATTTTGCTCACTAAAGAGGAATGTATGTCCCACACCTTAATACTGGATTTGGCTATGTGATTTGCTTGGCCACTGAAACAGTAGTTGAAATGATGTGACCAAAGGCTGCAAAAGCAAACGCACAATGGGCTTGTCTCTGGTGCTTCTATTATTGCCATGAGAACCTCATGCCTGGACTGGCAGGCTGCCCAGGAGAAGGATGAGACATACATAGAGTGGAGCTACCACAACTGATCTGTACACTCATAAGCTAAATAAATGTATTGCTTTATGCGACTATGATTCTGTAGTGGTTGGTTATTCAGCATTACTGTGACCACAGCTAATTGATATAACCACCTATTAGCTACCTGACATGAAGCAATTGCTTGACCTTTCTGAACCCTGGACTCCTCATCAATAAAAGAAAATGGTACTTCATAACTTGCTGAGATGGCCAGAACTGGTATACAGTGTTCTATACATGGAAAATGCTCAAAAGTGATCATTTTTATGTTATCACGATCTTTGCACAAATTACTTAATATCCATTTTCTTAACAAATAATGGTGAGTTGCCTTGTTGGCCCTTCAAGAAAATGAGATATATATGAAGTTCTTATAATAATATAAGACACATCAAATATTTATATTATTATTATTACTATTATTATACATTAATCCTTTTATTTTTCTGCCTAAAAGCTAAGGTGTAGTCTCTACTTCTGTGAAAAGTAAATCATTATGATATTTAACTGAAACACTGTAGTTTGTTGAATTAATAACGGCTCAAATAGCTACTTAAATATATTTATTAAAAACCAAGTGATAAGGGTGTCTGGATAGTTCAGTCGGAAGAGCATGGGACTCTTGATTTCAGGGTTGTGAGTTTAAGGCCCATGTTGGGTGTAGAGATTACTTAAATAAAAAAAACTTAAAAAAAAAAGTGATGTATTTCCTAAGAATTATCTACATAAGATAACTCTGGATTAAATTTCTCAAAAACGTCTTCAAAAACAATTTATAATTTTAAAAACATGTATGCCATTTCTTGAATAAGAAAGGATTTGACACACTTACTACTATGGTATATCCATTAGAATACCTTCTAAAATATTCCTATTTTAAACAGATTCTTAGATTCTGCCATTAAAATTACTCTAATACAATATTCCTAAAATATTTAGATTTTTCTTTTGAGAATGCTCTTGTCCCAAATTCTCTTATACTCATTCCTTTAAGATCCAGTTCAAATATCATTGCATCTTTTATTTTTTTTAATTTTTTTATTGTTATGTTAATCACCACACGTTACATTAGTTTTAGATGTAGTGTTCCATGATTTATTGTGCATAACACCCAGTGCTCCATGCAGAATGTGCCCTCTAATACCCATCACCAGGCTAACCCATCCTCCCACCCCCCTCCCCTCTAGAACCCTCAGTTTGTTTTTCAGAGTCCACCGTCTCTCATGGTCCCTCTCCCCCTCCGATTTCCACCCCTTCATTCTTCCCCTCCTGCTATCTTCTTTTTTTTTCTTAACATATATTGCATTATTTGTTTCAGAGGTACAGATCTGAAATTCAACAGTCTTGCACAATTCACAGCGCTTACCAGAGCACATACTCTCCCCAGTGTCTATCACGCAGGAATCCCATCCCTCCCACCCCACCCCCCACTCCAGCAAACCTCAGTTTGTTTCCTGCAATTAAGAATTCCTCATATCAGTGAGGTCATATGATACATGTCTTTCTTTGATTGACTTATTTCACTCAACATAATACCCTCCAGTTCCATCCACGTCGTTGCAAATGGCAAGATCTCATTCCTTTTGATGGCTGCATAATATTCCATTGTATATATATACACCACATCTTCTTTATCCATTCATCTGTCATTGGACATCTTGGCTCTTTCCACAGTTAGGCTATTGTGGACATTGCTGCTATAAACATTGGGGTGCACGTACCCCTTTAGATCCCTACATTTGTATCTTTGGGGTGAATACTCAGTAGTGCAATTGCTGGATCGTATGGTAGCTCTATTTTCAACTTTTTGAGGAACCTCCATACTGTTTTCCAGAGTGGCTGCACCAGCTTGCATTCCCACCAACAGTGTAGGACGGTTCCCCTTTCTCCGCATCCCCGCCAACATCTGTCGTTCCCTGACTTGTTAATTTCAGCCATTCTGACTGGTGTGAGGTGGTATCTCACTGAGGTTTTGATTTGGATTTCCATGATGCCGAGCGATGTTGAGCACTTTTTCATGTGTCTGTTGGCCATTTGGATGTCTTCTTTGGAAAAATGTCTGTTCATGTCTTCTGCCCATTTCTTGATTGGATTCTTTGTTCTTTGGGTGTTGAGTTTGATAAGTTCTTTATAGATTTTGCATACTAGCCCTTTATCTGATATGTCATTTGCAAATACCTTCTCCCATTCTGTCGGTTGTCTTTTGGTTTTGTTGACTGTTTCTTTTGCTGTGCAGAAGTTTTTTATCTTGATGAAGTCCCAATAGTTCATTTTTGCCCTTGCTTCCCTTGCCTTTGGCCATGTGTCTAGGAAGAAGTTGCTGCAGCTGAGGTCGAAGAGGTTGCTGCCTGTGTTCTCCTTTAGGATTTTGATGGACTCCTGTCTCACATTGAGGTCTTTCAACCATTTGGAGTCTATTTTTGTGTGTGGTGTAAGGAAATGGTCCAGTTTCATTCTTCTGCATGTGGCTGTCCAATTTTCCCAACACCATTTGTTGAAGAGACTGGCTTTTTTCCACTGGACATTCTTTCCTGCTTTGTCGATGATTAGTTGACCATAGAGTTGAGGGTCCATTTCTGGGCTCTCTGTTCTGTTCCATTGATCTATGTGTCTGTTTTTGTGCCAGTACCATACTGTCTTGATGATGACAGCTTGGAATAGAGCTTGACGTCTGGAATTGTGATGCCACCAGCTTTGTTTTTTTTTTCTTCAAAATTCCTCTGGCTATTCGGGGTCTTTTCTGGTTCCATACAAATTTTAGGATTATTTGCTCCATTTCTTTAAAAAAGGTGGATGGTATTTTGATGGGGATTGCATTGAATGTGTAGATTGCTCTAGGTAGCATTGACATCTTCACAATATTTGTTCTTCCAATCTATGAGCATGGAACGTTTTTCCATTTCTTTGTGTCTTCCTCAATTTCTTTCATGAGTATTTTATAGTTTTCTGAGTACAGATCCTTTTTTTACCTCTTTGGTTAGATGTAGTCCTAGGTATCTTATGGTTTTGGGTGCAATTGTAAATGGGATCGACTCCTTAATTTCTCTTTCTTCTGTCTTGTTGTTGGTGTATAGGAATGCCACTGATTTCTGTGCATTGATTTTATATCCTGCCACTTTACTGAATTCCTGTATGAGTTCTAGCGGTTTGGGGATGGAGTCTTTTGGGTTTTCCACATAAAGTATCATATCATCTGCAAAGAGTGAGAGTTTGACTTCTTCTTTGCTGATTCGGATGCCTTTTATTTCTTTTTGTTGTCTGATTGCTGTGGCTAGGACTTCTAATACTATGTTGAATAGCAGTGGTGATAGTGGACATCCCTGCTGTGTTCCTGACCTTAGGGGGAAAGCTCTCAGTTCTTCCCCATTGAGAATGATATTCACTGTGTGTTTTTCATAGATGGCTTTTATGATATTGAGGTATGTACCCTCTATCCCTATACTCTGAAGAGTTTTGATCAAGAAAGGATGCTGTACTTTGTCAAATGCTTTTTCTGCATCTATTGAGAGGATCATATGATTCTTGTTCTTTCTTTTATTAATGTATTGTATCACACTGATTGATTTGTGGATGTTGAACCAACCTTGCAGCCCAGGGATAAATCCCACTTGGTCGTGGTGAATAATCCTTTTAATGTACTGTTGGATCCTATTGGCTAGTATTTCGGTGAGAATTCTTGCAGGCAGGTTCATCAAGGATATTGGTCTGTAATTCTCCTTTTTGATGGGGTCTTTGTCTGGTTTGGGGATCAAGGTAATGGTGGCCTCATAAAACGAGTTTGGAGGTTTTCCTTCCATTTCTATTTTTTGGAACAGTTTCAGAAGAATAGGTATTAATTCTTCTTTAAATGCTTGGTAGAATTCCCCTGGGAAGCCATCTGGCCCTGGGCTTTTGTTTCATGGGAGATTTTTGATGACTGCTTCAATTTCCTTAGTGGTTATAGGTCTGTTCAGGTTTTCTATTTCTTCCTGGTTCAGTTTTGGTAGTTGATCCATCTCTAGGAATGCATCCATTTCTTCCAGATTATCTAATTTGCTGGCATAGAGTTGCTCATAATATGTTCTTATAACTGTTTGTATTTCTTTGGTGTTGGTTGTGATCTCTCCTCTTTCATTCATGATTTTGTTGATTTGGGTCCTTTCTCTTTTCTTTTTGATAAGTCTGGCCAGGGGTTTATCAATCTTGTTAATTCTTTCAAAGAACCAGCTCCTAGTTTCGTTGATCTGTTCTACTGTTCTTTTGGTTTCTATTTCATTGATTTCTGCTCTGATCTTTATGATTTCTCTTCTCCTGCTGGGTTTAGGCTTTATTTGCTGTTCTTTCTCCAGCTCCTTTAGGTGGAGGGTTAGGTTGTGTACTTGAGACCTTTCTTGTTTCTTGAGAAAGGCTTGTATTGCTATATACTTTCCTCTTAGGACTGCCTTTGCTGCATCCCAAAGATTTTGAATAGTTGTGTTTTCATTTTCATTGGTTTCCATGAATTTTTTAAATTCTTCTTTAATTT